TCTCTCTCTCTCTCTCTCTCTCTCTCTCTCTCTCTCTCTCTCTCTCTCTCTCTCTCTCTCTCTCTCTCTCTCTCTCTCTCTCTCTCTCTCGTCATTGTCCTCTGTGCAGGTATGCGTCACCTTCCTCCGCAGCGCAGCTATGGCGGACTTCCTCTTCAGGATGGCGCACTCCAGCTATGGGGCCCTATGGCCCGCGTCTCTCTCCTGCTACAACGGCGATGGCGCGTGAGATAGCGGGCACCAGCTCCGATACCAGTGCAATCAGACTCGCATTCATTCACACTTCACACGTATGCAAACAGGTTGCGCAGCAAACTGGCGCCAGGCGCCCACTCAGAGCTTAGAGATATAGTACCAAGAACTCAGTTCAGATACAAGTTCGCTCCCACTGGCTATGGCGGTACATCGCCTGTACAACTCTCTGTCGTCACTCACTCAACACTGCTGTTCGCACACAGGATCACCCTGGATATCCCACACGCAACACTCTGTACCCTCGCGCACACACTCACACACACCTACAGCTATGGCGGCTATGGCCGCTACTGCCCTATCACTATGGCTATCTCCTTCTCGCCCACTTCGTCCTCGGGCTCACTGCAGACCACCTCGCACAAGTCGCTATGGCAGCGCTTCCGCATGGCTTACGCAGGAATGAATCAATGGCTGGACGTTGCCTCCTGATTTATACTTCTGTAGCTCACTGGTCTGGCCCTTTTCCATCGGCCCATTGTGCACACAGTCCCGTATGGTACTTGCTGGACTGGACGGGGACTGACTGGACCGTACCGCTGACTGCATGGGGTTGGACCGCAACCTCAGTGCAGCTGTGCACTGCCGACAGACTGAGGTTGGCTCCACCACTTGCCCACTTGCCTCTGCCTAATGTGAGCCTACTCCGAAAGGCCACTTCCGGAAGTCTGTAGACTTAAGCATTTCGGTACTGTAGCAGCTACGACCTTGACCTTTCAGGACTGTAGCAGCTACGACTTCGACCCTTCGGACAGGCTACCCTTTTTTTTTAACAAACAAATAAAAAAAACAAAAAAGAAGAGAAACTACGATGCTTCATCGTGTTGCCATGTTTAAATACATATTCATTATCAACTTGCACGTGTGGTGAGGGGTGGAGCGAGGGCCTTTGCCGCACATCCTCGCTGGTAGGTTCTTTGAACTTTATTTCTTTTTCGTTAGTTTTTGCTTTTTTTTTTTTTGCCCCGGCAACGTTGCTCCTTGTCCGGCGTGACAGCTGCAACGGGATTTTTTTCTGTTGCCTTGTACAAGTCGTGTTTTTTTTTGTAAAGATTTTTTTTTTTTTTTTTTTTTCCGGTGGCATGTTTTTCTTTGGCAGCGCAGGCGTTTCTGCCCAGCAGCTGGACCAAGCCTCTACTGCCCCTCTGCCGAACGGCCCAGGAGGCCCGTTCACAGTTTACTAAAATTCAGTGAGCATTGAATGGCAGTGAACTGGTGGTTTGACAGAATTCCTTTCAAAACGAAAAAGAAGAAGAAGAAAAAAAAGATGAAGATGAAGTTGAATTGCCAAAAAAGAAAAGCACATTCATAGATAGCACAAAATGTGAGGCTTTACTCTCGAGGAGGACAAAATGTGCCAAGAAGAAAAAAAGATGAAGGTGAAGTTGAATTGCCAAAAAAAGAAAGAATGTTTTTTCTGAAACACTGTAAGGGTTTTTCTCAATCTGTAGATTGTCATTTAGAATGCCTGTGCAAGAAAATGTTGCGTGCCAAGAACAACCGGCCTACGAAGTTTATCCATAATGTAGTACCTGTGTCTGCCTTCCGTGAGCCACATGCACGTACAGGCTGAGCACCTACTCGGTGCGCATATGTACGTACATACATACATACGTACATACATACATACGTACATACATACATAGATACATACATGCATGCGTGCACGCATTGTATGTAGACATAAATACATACATACATAAATGGCACGGCCATGCTTTTTTTTGGGAGTTGTGTATAGCGAACATGACAACACGCATACATTCATGCATACATACAAACATCCGTACATACATTCATACATGCATAGATACAGATGTACGTACTTGGGGCCTGTTCGACACCACTGAAAAAAAACTGAATTTCTACGAAGCATTGTTCCACAGCACCCTAATGACGATGATGTTGAAGTCCGAAATGTTTCCACATCGCGGACTTGTAGGGTAAGCCCTAACTTCTCTAGTGCGCCCCAGCCAAAACAGCGAAAATCTCAAGGGCGCCTCGGGAGGTCACCAGAGAGAGTTAGGGCTGGACCCCTGAAAAATGCATAAAACATGGATTTTTTTTTTTTCAGTAACTTTCCACCAACCACAACTGTTCCTGACACCCTGTGGTCGGCACATCAGTCTCTACGGCGTCCATCCCAAGGGTTTCATCAAGGGGCTGTGGAACCGAAAAACGGGTTAGGGGAAATTAATCACTTTTCCCAAGTTAGGGCGCCCTAGGAAAAACGCAAATCTATAGTGGTGTCGAACGAGGCCCTTATGAAACAGTTTTCACCTTTGGCAGTAGCCGATGCAGATCCCAGGGGTCGATCCTTTGACCTCAGCTTACCTGTGTACAGTATCTGCACAGTTCCCTGGAGTTGAACCCGTGACCTGCACGATAGCCAGTGGTAAGTAGGTCGCCGTAGGTTGTAGGCTGTAGGGAGATTCGAACTATTGACCTGTGAGGTAGGAGTCCAAGTAGAGTCCAGAGGCCTAGCTTTAGTCCTTCTAGAAGGTCGGCAAGTGGTCAAGTGGTGAGTCTAAGGTAGGCCCACGTTTTCAGACGAAGACAAGTGGCAAGGTCAACAGGTAGGACCTCAGTGCAACTGCACTGAGTCGACGGTACGACTGCCTACAGTCAGGAG